GGGCATTTACACAAAATGAAAGCTGTATGAATGTTTTTGAGAGTGCTGTTTTTACCATTTGTGCTCCACGTGAACCCACCTGTTCTCTCCCAAGGACAATACCTGTTGGTTTCTTAGGAAGTGGCTAAAAGAAAGCATATTATGTCACTGGCTCTGATGTTTCTCAATTTGATTATTTGACAGAAGAAATCATTGAAATGTATTGTATATTGTAGCAATTTGTTCAAGTCTGTTCAAATCCACCCAAATAAACCACAATCTGCAAATGTCTTGAGGTTGGATTTCAACACGTTTCAGCCAATTTGAATTAGTAACACATTCAGAGAGCTTATTAAAATAAATTGTTATCCTTCCTTCTCACCACATCAATCCTATAGTACACATTCACTGTATTTGAGTTAATGTAAAACAATCGATCGTAATATTAGTCTTGCTCTGTGATGCTGTTGTGGAATTTCGACACAAAAATGTCTATGTTTTTGTAGTGGTTTCGTTTTTTACTGTCTTCAAAATGTTTTCCTTTTGAGATGCTAAAATGTGTAAGAAAGTAAATGATTTCCCCTGAAAGCTGCTTCTCTTGTTTTCAATCAAGTGATACTTTTGCTGACTTTTGTTTAACCATGAAATGTAAAAGACAAATAGATCATATAAACGGCAGGATAAAGTGAGGAACAATGGTTTATTGAGCAATTATGTTAACCAGCCCAAAGAGAAATACATGAACAAAAACAACAGTGACTAAGGTTGTATTTGAAGAATTCATATTTGAGATACATTGTATTGTTTTCAGCATGTCGGCCAATAAGTAATGAGAAATTGCAGTACAGAAATCCTGAAAAAGATAAGAACGGTGTCACTACAGCACAGCTGGTTCAACAGCTACTTACAGGTTTAGTTTTTAAACATAAGTAGAATTTCCCAGAATACATCCCAAAATATGTGTTATTTCTCTCGAGGATGAATATTCAAATGTTTATTAGTAGTACAGGGGTAGACATTAAGGGTAAAATGCCACTGGCCCTCCGGGCCGGTGGAATTGTATTATCACTGGCCCCACCATTGTAACCACTGGCCCGGAGCATTCGTCCAAAAAAAATCGACTTATAATGAAGAAAATGAACACATTTGTTGCAATAGTAATTTATGCACTAACTACATTACTACTTGTACTACAACATTTGAATCATCAGTTCTTCCTCATTTCCTCAATTGTTCATATTTGGTTTATTAAAATAATGATATTGTGGTCATTGTTAAAAATGTCAGCTATTATTATAGTATATTATTATTTGTATAATGCGCTTTCTGCCTTCCTGTCATTAGGAGTTAGAAATGTAATGGCTATGTAATAGATTAGATTAGAACCTTCATTATCCTAAACTGCTGGGACGTTTCCCTAAAGCCAATACCTTTACTCTTCACTTACTTGTCAGCATAGGTCGGCATTGATGTATAGAGCCGACAGAAGACCTTGTTTATATTGGCATCATATTGAGAGGTGCAGTGACGTGTCCTAAAACCAGGAAGTAAGCTGTTGGTTTCCTCGACAAAAAGCAATGGGATTTCTCCACAGGGTTTTGGAAAATAGCTGGAAATAAGGTCTCTGTGGAAAACAACACCTGTTTGATAATTGCACGGTTTTGTTCAGCCGCCGGATAATATCACATGTTAACCCTACTTTTATAATTTTCATCATAAATCTAATCGGAGATTTATTGTATGGGTTTTAGGACGCGTCACTAGACGAGATGACAACTCCATCTGATTCTATGCTGGCTTGAAACGTTAGATCTTAGTGCGTAACCGGCCCTCAATTGTGTCGCTTCTGTCAGTCAAACATACACACAGCATACACACTTCTTCAATAAAAGAAAGTCACCAGGAGGAGTTAAAGGAGACCTCGTGTTTAATAGAGCAGTCACATCCGAGTATGAGCGCGAAGACCAACGTTTCCAAGCCATGCCTGATTTCGGATGTGATGTTCTTCTTATCTTGATTGTGTGCCATGGTTGCCCGCTGGCATCTTAAGCCAATATACGCTGTGTAATATAATTCCTACAGAAACATTTATGAGCGTATATGCGGATAGTGTGAAAATTAATCTAGCAAAGTGAGCGGAGGTACGGATCGTCCGTAGTAAAGGAGTTCCGAGTCACGCTACAGGCCCGTAACACCTGGAACCAAAACGTGCCATTTATCAAACAGGTTTGTTTTCCACAGACTTTATTGTCCGCGAGAGCCGTACTTTTCTCTCCGACAGCACCCCTGTTCTTCTCTGCGAGCAAACAGCCATTTGCCTGTTTTGTTCCTGGTACGAACAACAACTCATCAACGACAACCGACTCACCAAAACGCTATGTTGTAGCGTTAATAAACGAAACCAGGCAACCATATTTAGCACCGTCCACCAAAGTTATCTCTAGGGAACATCGACTCACTAGCAGCGACTACAATACATTGTAGTGTTTTTTCTAATAAGTCATATTATACTAAATGGTCTGTGCGCTGCTGAGACACAGTGGTGCCATGGTCGGAATATGGGCTGGACAGTAAGTAAGAGTAGAAAATATAAAACTGGCTCTACTGGGGGCTTTGACGAAATCATCCGCCACAGGCGCCCAGCGTGTAGGGATCCAATTATATGAAAGGTTCTAATACTATCGAGCCTCTCGTAAGCTTAGCCCAATATAAGACTCCATTAACAATTTCATATGGTATCACTAAAGAAAAGGCATGTACTCTATCGGAGTAGGCCAAAAGAAGAGGTCGACAAATTAAACATATACATTATGATGAGTATTAAATGACCCATACTACAATTAATAGAGTTTCAGCGTCTATTTGATTTATCATCAAACTTCAATTGCATCACTACTCATATATCAAGAAGTGAATTAATTTTTAAAAAATAAAACCCAAAACACAAATCTTTAAGTCGAAAACAACAATATGAGGGAAGAGACAAAGTGAGTGCAACGAGCGTGCGAGATTATGTACAAAATGATTAGTTGGTAGTGCGGAAGTGAAACTTAAGTGCCTCGGTGACATAAATGGTTCGGTGCATTGCTTTGCAAACCCTGAGGTGTGGAGGTTTAGAGGTTCAGCTGGCAGAGGAATGTAAGGCATGTGTGGTATTTATAGAAACGGGCCCCCATTAGAAACAGTAATCCTGCAGCATGTAAGTGGACGAGTAGAGCGAATGTGGCTTCACCAAACCCTTCACATGGAGCCCTGACTACCGCTTTCTGATGACCCACTTCCCTCTCCTGAACGCCAGCTTCCTGTAACAGCTGCGACAGTCATCTGGATGAGGCGCTTTGACGCAAGGCGTGCAGGGAATATCCGAAGTCTGACCGACGCCTGAGGGACTCCTGAGAGCTCCGCCTTGCTCTCCTTCCTCCTGAGTAATTTATCCGCAGTCTTCATGTTGCTCCAGGGCGGAGGATCAGCGTGATCGGGGAAAATACGAGTCCTGGTTCTGGGAGGAGTGGGTTCGACAGCGAGGCGCAGAGGCGTCAAGACTGAAGTCCTTACCTTTGGGGTTTCCTCCTCCTCACTGAACAGTCTGGGGTCTGTGAGCCCGTCCATTTTGGAAGGGGAGGGCTGGGGACAGAGTAGCAGGATTGGTAATTGGCTGCCTGAGGCTGTTCTGGCTTGTCAGGAAGCGTCCGTGGGTTGAGAAGTCCTCCCATTTCGGAGGGTTGTGAGGAGCCTGCAACCTCAATTTTCTCAGCTTCCTCATCGTCCTTTTCCACCTCACCCTGACATAGATTGTTGTCCTCCTTTTTCCCTTGTTATCCTCCTCCTTCCTCCTTTCCCTCATCCTCCTCTTCACCATTGGAACTTCATGCTAGGTCTGCGTAGTTGCGTGAAACAGGACTGGGCGTGTCTGTGGACTGTCCCCCCCCCCAAAGAGGAAAACAGTCCTCTTGGCAGACACAGGGGGCCCTGCTTCCCTGAAGAGCTTTCAACTAAAAGGATTACCAGATGAGCAATAAAATGTTTGTTCATAATAAATCATTTTAAAAAAGGATTAGAGCCCATTGTAGGCTTCGATGAAATGAATACACCATCATACCAACACATGTATACATTGCAACAATATAATCCCCTAAAAGAGTAAGGGGGGTTAAAATAACAACGCACCATTTTTATTTCTGTGGGTTGAGGATTCTTCTTTTTCCTTCAACTGGGGTGGCCAGAATCCAGCCCCCGTCCAAAACAGGGGCTTCTCAAATCGGCGTGGTCTGAATTCCTAAACAGGAAAAAAGAGAAACAGGACACCTCCAAAATTAAACTTTTTAAAAGGGGTCCCATGTCCATGGCCATTTCTACTTGATCATATTCCCCATTTGTTGAGGTCTACTAAAATACATTTTTATTGTGCCCAATTGGGTCCAAAACTCCACATTGGGTTTCCTCATTCAGCATCTCTGTATAGTTATGTTGTATTCTCTTTGTCCTAAACGGCTTGTTGGAGCTCCTGCCCCCCCCCCTCCCTGTGAGCCCAGTGGCCATCTGCGAGACAGCGAAACCCAGAACCCAGCCAGAAACACACACACACCCGCAGCCTGGCTGGGAGTTTGTGTGTGTGCCCAGGCTGAGTTCCGCAGTGTCTCGCCGACCCCACACCAGTGAGCCAACTCACAGTGTCCCGCTCCTCGCAGCAGCGAGCCTCGCAACGTCCCGCCTCGTGTGTGTGTGTGTGGAAGTCCGCGGATTGGTCCAAACGTAACGGACCAATCTGAGGAGCCGTTACGTTACGTTACGTCACTATACACGAAATACGTCACTATACCCAAGAAGTAAACAATGGAAAAAGAGAAATCTCCAACGAGGCGTTCTGGGGCAGCAGAGACAGGTCTTTTCTGCGTTAGAGTTTTACTCGCTACAGAGTGTACTTTGAGGGTTTGTGACTCTGCAGACCGTTTACATGCAGAAAAAGCAACATAACACACAAGGGGACGGGTAAGAACCAGAAAAGCATGACATGGGACCTTTAGGTTTGTTAAATGACAAAACGTTGTATAGCGTCCAGCTATTTGTTTTGCCCATTATCTGCTGGCAAGTCATCCCTTCTCCTTATTATATCTTCGGAATACCATTTGCTGTACCAAAATAAAGAACTTCATTAGAGATGCACATTCACTTTTAACTCCATTGTTATTTTTCTCACACACACAGGCCCGAAACACATGCACACACAGGAGCCAGACATGCATTCATTGGGCCGGCGTGTTTACCAAGGAGAAGTTATTGGGCTTCAGGGGCGTCAAAGAGGGAAAAGGGCCGGGGTCGGCACTCTGTTGGGGGAAACATCTTCAGAGAGTCTGGTATCTCTAACATATCCAGCTGTAAGAATGCTCCTACTTCTCTTTGTGGTTTGTTTTTGAAAGAGAAGCTCCAAATGAAGCTTTGATAACAGAATGTATTATCTTATATTTTCAGATGTAAAGAATGAAAAGTCCTCCCAAACGTTCAGCTAGCTTCCAAGAAACAACATTTCATATATCAATTTCCACGTACTGTAAACCAGCATTGAGGCTAAGGAAACTGTTACAGATGTCACATTTTGCACAGCACCTGTTGTGGTTATATAATGTATATGAAAGTGTGTCTCTCACCATATGTAGGTCGCTTCACCATGCAGCGTTTGAGGGCTCCCAGAGGTTTGTATACTGTCGCTGCTTGATCCGACTGGTTCCTGCACATCAGCATCAGCCTGTTAAAATACAAAGTGTCAACAAGTGTATGGCAAATGCAATAACAACTCAGACTCTTACAACACGTCTTAAAATAGTTTTGGAGGTTAGCGTGTTGTATTAAATCTTCACTCACATCTGTGTGACCTCAGTGAGTGTGCGACCAAGAGGGATGACACTGGGGTAGATGTTGACGGGCTGGAGGTAGGAGAGGAAGTCTTTCAGCTGAAATCAGAGGCACATACATTTTAAAGCACATTATTTCAAGAAGAAAATTAAGAGATATAAGCATTGTAAGCATCTGTAGTACCTCTAAGTAGGAGGAATGGAAACTGAAGCACGCTCTGAAGGAACTTGCTCCTGTTCTGGAATAATAAACAGAAAAAAGGCAAGTTTAGCATCCATAGATTTATGTTGAATTCTTCTTTTTGTGTCTTTTTTCACTAAGCACTTTAATTGACTACTAAAATGTTAATGTGTCATGACAAGCGTTTGTAATTGAACAAATATTCTGGATACATCTGAAGTTGCTCTTACTTTATGACAACGTTTGTTTTCCTCGTCCTCTCTCCGAACCACATGGTGGATGGTTTGATGCTGATGATTTGAAGAGGGGTCCCGTCAGACGCTCTGCAGCCACACGGCAGCCGGCTGCCCTGGAAAAACTCCTCAGCCTACACACACACACACACACACACACACACACACACACACACACACACACACAGGATTATAATTTGTTTTGAATAATAGTGTCAATGACAAAGAGGTTATCTTATGGGTTTTTGTATTTGCACAAATGCACGGCCCTTCTTTGTGTGTGTGTGTGTGTGTGTGTGTGTGTGTGTGTGTGTGTGTGTGTGTGTGTGTGTGTGTGTGTGTGTGTGTGTGTGTGTGTGTGTGTGTGTGTGTGTGTGTGTGTTTATGAGAGACTTTAAGTGGGACCTTAGGGTGTCGACAGGCATGGATCTGCGTCCTGCGGTCAGTGGTCACGTAGCTCAGGAGCTCCGGCATCTTCTTGAACATCTCTAGACTGTTGACATGGATCTGAGAGTAAAATAAATATAAATTTAAACATATAATAGGAGACGGCCACACCTGCATGTTTGGATTTGTGCATGAAAGGATATTATGGAAAACAGAACCATGTTTGCGCTACCTGTGTGTTGAACTCCTCTCCCAGGTTGGTGAACAGGTATTCATATCCATATGCAGCTTTACAGTTGAGCCACACAACATGATAAGCACTCTGACTGATCCAGTTTCTAACAAGCTCTGAGATACCGTCCAGACAAACGTCCTGCACAGAGAAATTACAAATTACATTACAATCATTGCATCTATGGTTCAAATACATTTTAGATCAAAACAAATGAACCATTGTTAGTATGAGTTTTATCAACAATTCCTCTTTGTACTTCATAGCCAGAGACCATCCCAGAAACGTACCCGAGTGGGAATCTGGAAAAATCGTGGGTCATAGAACGTTGAGTCCAGATAAATGCTCTGTATATCCTTCACTCTGAAACATGAAAGAACAGCGTCACACATAAACTGTGATAAGGCAAAGGTGACAAAGAAGAGGGGGAGAGTGTCTGAAGACGGGGTTTAGGTGACATTTTTACATTTAGTCATTATCCAATTCCTAAACTTTTACTCTCTTGTTACTTTTGAGAAACTTGAAGAGGCAAAAAACTGTGAAGATGTTCATCAGGACCGACCTGCTGCCAGAGTGCAGATGTTCGATTCTTGACACATCTCCAGCTGCAAACCTGAAGTCTCCTGTATACAACACGTTCCCCTGAGAACCCTCAAACAGGAACCTGCAAACACACACACCATTTCTGACTTAAAACCAAAATAAAACGTTTAACATTGTTTGAATATGTATTTGCCCTGACAGACCTGTATTTTAAAATAGCCTATACATATGTTACATTTCAAAATATGAATTTGTATTAATCAAATCAGACAACTTTCTTAAAGTCTAAGACAGTTAATGTTCAACTTACATAACAGAGCCAGGACAGTGGGCTGCAGCGAGCAATGTGACCAGAATCTCTTCTTTCTGTTAAATTAACACCAGAAAGAGAGTTGCAGAAAATCAAATAGGGAAACACTTAAAATTAGGAAACTAAATCTACATGTGTGACTGAATGACTACAAAACAATCCTCAGTTTTTACCTCTCCAGATGCCTCATCAACCAGAGAAATCTGAGTGGGACTCTCCAGCTCTAATGCAACCTAAAACATGTAATTTTACCAGAATAAAAAAAAGAAGAAAATAATTTAAAAAATGTTTTGGGTAAAGGGACAAAACCTCTAATTTGACCAAAATACTATAAAGCCAAGCAGAGATGAACATGACATGAAAAGCAAAACATATTTTCTGACACACAGAGAATCAACTTAAGGTAGAAAAACGTCTGTCACAGGATAAATGCTCTAATTATCACATGCATACACAATGAGAGGAATAAAGGTAACTTACAATGTATTCCTCCCAGAAAGCGTACTTGGGATTGTTCAGAAGAAGTTCTTTGGTCACGAAGGAGCAGTAAAGCCTAACTGTACGACTATAAACCAAGAGGGAAAACAATAATACAGCACCATAAAAATGATATCTCCCCCATTTCGTTTATATGAGTTACAGTATGTGTCCAAGTAATTTCTTTGTGGAATTCTTTATTTATTTTCAGTATAGCAAAAAAACTTCATCATATAATCTCTTGCATCTGGCATATAACTTAAATTATCCATAATGTAACACAATACAATATTTTTCACTACATTTGAGTGGATTAGAAGCAGAAAATTGAAATACTAAGGCAAAGTACAAATACCTAAAAATGTACTTCAACTACACAATAAAGTTGCCTTTGCCAAAAAACTTCACCTGAACTGCAGTTTTCTCCTGAGTATCGGTGCTTTTAGTCCTTTCATATGATCTGTCAATAAGATAAAACAGATAAACAACAACGACAACCTGTAATTTGGTGTTATATGTCTCTGTGGATAATCAATTTTCATCCAAACTTCCATTAAACACTAATGGTTTGTGATGCTAGCTGGCTGCCAGGCTCACCTTTGTGGCAGTGGGAGAGGAAATATGCCCGGGAATGTAGGTTCTCCCGGTCGAACCGATCCAAAGACATGGTGGAATACTCCTTCATTCGACCTGCAAATGAACTCATGTTTATGCCAAACTGTTTTAGTGGTATCTGGTGAAATTATTGTAAAGTTATGTCCAGCGGAGAGAGCATATTTTGCTGTCATCTCCAGTGTTTGTCCCGCCCATTAATTTCAGTTCCTCTTCTTCGTCGTCTTTGTCGTTTCGGACGATTCAAGTGCATTTGGTAAATATTACCGCCATCTAGTGTCCATTTATACTCATAGGTGTTCTTCTTGAATTGAGCCTCTGCTGTAAATATTGTTTCACACTTTTCTTGACACATGCTTCCCTTTTAGGGAAAACTATATCAACAGATCCAACAAAGTGGTCCCAGAGTAGTCCGTTTATGTATTGTTTTGCTGCTGAACGTATTGCCTTGTTGTTTGGCGCCATCTCCTGGAAGCTTTTGGCCGTTGTCCTCCAACACAGAAGAAGAAACCTCACGGTAACCAGGCAACCAAAGAAAAGCTAATAAATATCACCGCATGCTAACTGACGTCCGAGAGAAACTAGTTTTCCAAACAAATGTAAGTAAACAGTTATCAGTATTTTATATCAAGTAATTGTAGGGTAATGTATGGATTTTGAACTGTATGAGAATGTAAGATATTTTCAATGGACGTTATAAAAAAGTAGAGGTCATAATATAGTCTTTGTTGACAGCGGGTTGACAGTAATGCTCGAAACTCTATTTAAGAATGTTGTATTTAAAAAAAAAAAATCGAGCAACACAATTTACTTTTCTTTTTAATATGTCACATTGCTTAGTGCCAATTCTTAAGTGCGAAACGCATTGTAAAGCATCACTTGACTTATTTTCACTGAAATGTCACTTCGACACTCACAGTCTGACTGACAAAATGCGTCAGTTCCGTCTGCCATCTGTCGCCTGTAGGATCATGTTCATGTCTAATTAGCCTCCACATCTTAACTAAATGTTTAAACTCTTGTGCATTGTTGATTCAACACGTGTTTTTGATGATTCTAAAAGAAAAAAACAAGAAATTAGCCGAATATACATTTTCCTAATCCCGAGAATACACGTTTGTTTTTGTGTTAATCCAATAAAACCAGTCAGACATGAGATAAAGGAATATAAATCAAAAGGTGGTATGGTAATATTCTACTGCTCACTCTTAAAGTGTAGAAACATTTTTTTAAACATTGTATATTTTTTAAGTTATTTTACAATGCTGTATAATATAGTGACTGACATACACACAAAAGACAAGAAAAACAGGATGGAACAGTGATAATAAAAAAAAAGTGTAACATACAATAATAATGTAAAGAAATAATACATAAATAAGGATAAAAACAAAGGAAGCTGAGCTATTGTGTATTTACATATTCAATAATCTATTAGGTCTATTTGGAGCCCCTCAATTGGTATTTTATTTCTCTAATTTAAGAAAGTACATTTGGCCTATATGTCTTTCGATCCATTGAGCAAAGACAGGTTGGTGTGCATCTTTCCAGTGAAACAAAGCTAAGCATATGGCAAGTAAGGCCAATTATAAAGCAATTTTTGTTATAACTTGTCACTCTGTTTAGCAGAAATGTAATAACTTGTGCATTTTGTAATATTTCCAGCATCACCACCATGTCCTTTACTACTGATAACAACTCTACACCAAAGTCCATGAGCCGAGCCAAAGGATGGACCGCAGAGATAGAAAACCTTTTCAGATTCCAGCAGGCCGGCTACAGAGATGAACTGGAGTACATACAAGTCAAACAAGGGTCCTTGGTAAGTATAATGATATGAATGTGGAAATGATCATCTATTTTTTTCTTTATCGAAACATCAAACACAAAATGTTTCTTGTAAATGCAACCCAGGAACAAATGTGCATTGTGTCAGGAATATTGTGCAAACAAATTAACTCATATTAGACAGATAGACAATATAGAAGGTCCTGATTTTTGTCTAGGACCATTTTTAGAATTTAGTCAACTTAAAACAGATATCATTCTTGGTACATATTATTGTTATTAGTTTGTTGTTGTGTTCATTGGTACATTTAATGGCATATCACTTGTCTCACAAACTCTATTTTTGTTTGTTTATATGAAGCTTCTGTTCTCACTAATTGACAGCATACTCATTTTTTTTCATTGTGAAAAAAATACTTGTTAGCATTGTGTCCTTTCCTTTTTAATGTAACAAGACATTAGAGGAACCAGGAGTTCCAGTAAAATAACCAATTTTAAATGATGTTAGAGGTTATAAAAAAAAATGTTTCTCTCTCAGGTTGACAAATGGCCAGAGTCCGGCTTCGTGAAGAAGCTCCAACGTCGAGACAACACATTTTATTACTACAGCAGGAAAAGGGAATGTGAGGAACGTGACATCAACAAAGTCAAAGTGTATGCATATTAAAAGGTGTTCTGGCCTCCATCAATATAATAATACAGCCTGTTGACACACACTATATCTCAGATTCACCCCTGCCGAAGAAGATGACCTCTGTTTTCAAATAAAATATTTTTTAAACAGCTGATAAGTTTTTTTTTGTGATCATCTTGGTGGGTGATTGTATTTTTTGGACCAGTGCATTTTGTTTTCCACAATGTGAACATGATTTTCCTCCTGCATGCATGGTTTTACCAAAGCCATAGTTCACTTAAAAGTCCCTGCCTACTCACTTTCAGTATAATAGCTTAAAAGAAGAAGGAAGAGGGCTTACTCTGTGTTTATGGATAATTTTTAATTATTATTCCCCAAACATGAGATTTTTGAATTAAGTTATCCTGGAGTTGCAGTTGATTATGAATAATTAAAAACAAATAAGGCATGTTAAACTGTGTAGGATTTTTTAATGCGATCACTTTAATACCTTCAGTTATAATTACATCATTACAGTAACCAAACATGTTTTTCTTACTGTATTAAGCTGCAGGGTTTAACGAGGAGAGATGTTATTCCCACTCATGACCTGTTTAAAAATGTGATGTTTTATTTTGCTGGGATTAAACACTAGGCCCGTCACACTCTCCTCATGTGATGCTAACATGAGGGGTGAGATTACGCATAGAGCCCCCATTGCTCTCAGATCTGTTTTTTTCTTCCCCACATCAAGGACATATTGCTTTACTTCGCTGCTTGGTTAATGAGAAAAATATGCTTTATTAATAAGAAAGATAGTTTACTCGTGGTGTTGCAAGAGAAGTATCCCATTTGAAGTGACTGACTCCTGCTGCACAGACAGCCCTGCACACCAAGGCAGGTGAGAAATGCAAAATTACATTACTTACATGACATGATAAAACTACATCAATGATTCAGTAATCATTCTAAATCATAAGGTAGTAATCATCATTTTATATTTTAAAATATATCAAGGCATATTTTGGATCTTCGAAAAGTTAAACTGATAACTGTAGGCTATGTCTATTTTTTATACTTAAAAAACTGTTTGGATTTAAACACCATGAATGGTGAGTTACACATCCACCCACCAAACTCCGTTCATGATTTTGAAGATTTAATGTTTTCTGTAGTATTTTATGCATGAGGTAAACAAACTATCTGGCTCTTAAGGTTATTATTTAACTATGTTATAATTCTTCTTGTTGATAATATTATTATTTTCTTGGATTAAATTCAATGTAGTTTTACTGGAAAACTGTTTTTTTTAAATTTTATTTAGCATAATAGAATCCACAGTTTAAATAGGTTACTTTCTGAATGAAGTTTGGCGAGCTGCGTCAGTGAAACTGCTACAAGCCCTGTCGGCTCAACAGTAAACTCGCCTTTAACAGCTTGAACTGAAGCTACCTGGCTTATTCCCTTTAATTTATACTCGACACTATTATCAGAAGTTATGTTTCCAGTGGAGTCACGGTAGCTGTAAGGTAAGCGAGTCAGTAAAGTAAAATAGTAGAAACATTAGCTTACAGCTTCTTCTAAATGTCTTATTTTCAATGTAGTTCTGGCAGGTTAGCTTAGCATCGTTAGCTACCTGCTTTAGAGTTGGCCTCGTAACGGGTAAAGCTCAAGTTAGCTAACACTACAGAAGGTAGCCTTAATGGTGTCGTTTATATTCGTTATTTTATACCTGACTTGTAGGATGAACTGATATAGTGTGTAGTTTCGGTTTATTCTATTCACTTAACGGTAACGTATGCTTAGGTTGCTATTTGGCTATGACTTACAAGGCTAACAAGCTGTGTATGTTAAAGTTAAATGTGTTTTCTTACCTATTGCTGGCAAGGTACGCCATTTACTAATCAAGACAATTGCTACTATAAATTGGTAGGTGTCACAGACATTGTGTTCAATTGTGTGTTGTTGATATTCAAGTGTTTTGCTGAGATTTAATCTCTGAACATCCCAACAACATGCTAATAGTGTTATGACTGGAGCAGTACAATGTCTTCTCTATATCTAAAGCTTTAAGTTAATTTACTAATCTATATTTTCTAATGTAAGCGTCTATTCCTACCCCCTTGTCTTTCAAGTGCTTAGTACCGACTGTCACTGCACCTCGTTTTGTGGATAATATGGGAATTAACCCATTTTATTATTTTATTTGACACTGCAAAACAGTTTGAATCACATGCCAAACACACCCTGACCCAGTGAGCCTGCAGGGCTTTGAAAAAATATCTAACAATCGATACAAATCTCAAGCTGTAAAGTCATACAATTATCTTATCTCTAAATTGTATTAATCACGTCTTATTTTCAACACAGATCCTTCATCTGATTTTATTTAGTTATTTGTTGGAATTAGTTGTACAGCTGTTAAGATGAGTTGATTTATCAGAGAGTAATATAGTTTTGGTTTCTGAGGCATTTCTCTGAACTAGTAAATGGCATTTTTCCTTTCCTAGACTATATCACTAATCAGTTAATCAAACATACAATCCCCACATAAATAAATGATGAAAGTCTGAATAAGTAAAAATGTTTAGATGTTGGTGGTCTTGTAGTGGACAAGTTGACAAAACCAATATAAAGCTTACCTAAATAATTTAGTATTGACCTGATACACACCTGTTTGAAAAGAGCTAAATGATTGATTTGTTTTGATAAAGACTCAAGGTTTAATGGAGCTACTATCAGCCCACACATGCCTATATATTTGTCTTCCTAGCTCAGTTAAGTCATGGGGTTTCTGTTT